GGGTTCTTAAGGTAGAAGCTCAAATAGTTACCCACATTTATATCAGTCCGTTGGGCTCCTTATATTTACAAGCCCAAGACCCTAGTCTAATTATTACGCTGCGCCCCTACATTAATCATAAGCCCTAACCCAAACCCATAAACCCCAAACCCAAACCCCTAATCCCGAAACCCTAAACCCAAACCCCAAACCCTAAGCCCTAAACTCAGAACCCTAAGCCCTAAACCCTAAAGTCAAAGCCTAAGCCCTAACAAAACCCTTAACCGCTTTGTAACATCCCTGAACCCTAAACCCTAAACCCTAAACCCTACACCCTACCCTAAGGCTCTTATTGCTGTTATGGGCTTTCTACGGGAAGGTTTGGGCTTTGGGGGCTAAGGTGTGGGCTTTCACTATGGGGGTCCATGAGCCTTAGGGTAAACCCTAAACGCGAGATTGCCAGGCTTTTTGGTCTCCGTCGGGTCGCGAGGGCCTCCGGCGTGAACTCCACTTTTCAAGAGCCGCTTGGACATTGCGACCGAATAAGGGTTGAGGGATGTTCGGGGCATAAGACACCACGTGCCTCTTTCAGTTTCTTATAGCTGCGGAGCTTTAGGATTCAAGGTTTAGGCAAGGACATTTTCAGGTGGGTAGCTACCGTTATAGGAGCCTTATAGAAGGTCTATATACCTTATGGATGCCTTATAGAAGCCCTATATACCCTAAACTCCCCAGCTGTAGCTTCTTTTCACTTGGACATTGCGACCGTTTCGGGTCTACGGTGTAGTGGGTCAAGGGTTTAGGGTTTAGTGGGTCTAGGGCCACTGTTTTGGGTTGCAGACAGGGGTTTTCTGGGGGCTTTTGGGCTTTAGCATCGTTTGGTGTGCAAAATGCGTGTTTGATGGTATTTTCCTGTGACCCCAAACCCTACAAAATAGTAGGTTATGACCCCTTAAATAGAGGGTAGAACCCTTAGATCGGTAGGTTTTTGGATCCCCAGGCTGGAACCACGGTAGGGAGCATATGCCAAAGCCTGCAATCCTGCACGCACCTGTTGGCTTCTCCACACTTGGTTCAGGGACCCAAAAGCATCCTAAAAAATAGATCCCCTAAGGGGGTTCCTATAAAGTACCCTCTAGTAGTTAGGGTCCCTAATTAGGGGATCTATTTTTTAGATCCTTTTGGGGGTCTGGGTGGTTCAGGGAGAAGGGTGGTGATGTACTGTAGGGGCCTGAATAATTACCTCGATTATTCTCGGGGCTCCTTATTATAATTGTAGTAGAATACACCCCAAAACCTTATTCTAATGACTAAGGGCCTTACATGAAGTTTAAGATTCGGATTTGGGCTATGTGTCGAAGCCCGGACGACTCGGAAGTGGTGTTGCATGACATCGGAGAACCCAAAACCCTACGCCCTTAAACCTCAAACCCTAAACCCTACACCCTTAAACCTTTAAGCCCTTAAGCCCTAAACCTTAACCCTAAACAATCAGGCTCCCAGTTTGCCAGATGTGGAATTGGGTGGGTGGTTTGGCGTGCAAAGTCGCCGTGAGCGCTAAGATTGCCTCATCCCTAAACCCTAAACGCCGCGATCTTAGCCCCTACCCCGTGAACCCCGAAACAGCGGTTCGGGGTTCCTTAATATTTAAGGGCTCCTTCGGAGGTTCGTTTTGCGGTCTCCAAGCAAGGTCGACTGCCGCCCCGGCGTGGTCAGAGGCAACTTCCATGGATATGCACATGTGCAGTTCGAGGCCGTCGAGGGACTCAGGGGTGATGGGATTGTGGTTTCGGGGTTTAGGGCGTATGGATTATGGGCCTAGAGTTTGGGGTTCATATGAGTTTAGGGTTTATACATTGGGGACCACATGACCCTGAAAAGTAGGCGGCGAGTGGGGACGGCCCCCGGCTGCTGGCCCTGGCCCCTGCAGCTTCCGGGCATCGTCCCGGAAGTGCCGCTCCACGTCTCGATTTGTTACGAGGCGCCCGCGGCCCCCTGAACTCCTTGAGTAGCATCTTCCCCCGACCGCAGGACGAGATCGACGAGCAGGCCGTGGATGAGCTGAAGACCCTCTGGGGCGAGCCGCGCGCAGTGCGGTTTCGCTTCAGCTGGGTCTCGGCGGGGGGCTGCGCCTTCCTTTCCGACGAGGACCCGGCGGCGGCATGCCCCCGGCTGGTGGACGCGCATCGCGGCGGCTGGTACGCAGACCGCGCGCTGCACATCAGCATGTAAAAAGGCTGGTCGAGCATTGGACCTACGGGCCGGATTGTTGGGCCTACCGAGTGGTGAGTGACGAGTGGCGAGTGGTGAGTAACGAGTGGCGAGTAGTGAGTAGTGAGTGGTGAGTGGTGAGTGGTGAGTGGTGAGTGGAGAGTGGTGAGTGGCGAGAAGCGAGTGGTGAGTGGTGAGTGGTGAGTGATGAGTGGTGAGTGGTGAGTGGTGAGTTTTGCAGGTTTGTTTTAGGCATCCACGAGCTTGATGGCATCGCTGACAGCAAGACAACGCTTTACAATGCAACCACAAGGAGGTTATCCGGAGGATAGCGAAGACCCTTGGGAGCAAGCTTTTGCAGACATGGCCTTGTTCTGCACATATGCTAGAGCCAGGTCTCATTCAGGCAGGCTTGCATATTTAAAAGGCTTGGTTGGCATTCACAAGACTGCGCTTTTACTTTGCTGTTGACTTTTTAAAGACTTGCATTCTATATATTTCCTTTGGAACATATTCTTCCAAAAAGAAATATTTTTGGAAATATTCCTGACTTTCAAATGTGGAATAAATTATACACTATTTAAGGCCTTCGGGAGGGAGACTCACATGCCGATGGGAATCGACAGGGCTCAAGCGATACATAATACACCCAGTTCGAACTGCATCCGGTGGCCATGGTCAAGGAAATAAGGCAGGCGCGGTGAGCCACTTTGTAAAAAAAACATACATGACACACAGGCCGCCGAAGTGGCTATCGCCGTCGACTATTGCAAAGGCTCGGTGATGCATGACAGCGTGACAAAAAAACGAGTCGTGCTAGGAACATCGGAAAGAAGCGGAGCTAATCAACCGGCCCGTGCGTGATACGCCCTATGCCTGCTTCACATTGGTCTGGGACCTAACATATATATGTACATATATATGCAAGTGAACGCATATATATATATATATACATATACATAATATATGCACATGCGCCCAGGCTCTGCAGGGCACTTCGACAGCGGACGCCGGGGCCAAGATGTGGTATAGAATCCGACTCAGGAGCCTGATGCTGCACGCTGACATGTCAGATATACATCGATACATTGGCAGGACACTCCTACTGGCAGCAAGAAAAGCAGCGAAGACACCGTCCGGCCCTCAAGTTGACTAACAGCAGTCCAAACTACATGTATCAGGCAAGCAATGACGTGGGAAGACTTCTTGCCTCCAACTCAGATTCACAGTGTCCTTGTAACACCAAACTCTGATTATGCGCAGGAGGTACACAGATGACGATGACAACCAAAGTGAATCGTAGACACTTCAATGCGTACCCTGACATCAAGCGAATGGAAAAGAGCGCCAGCAAGATAGCGCGCATGCAGACTGTCGGCAATCTTTCATATCACCGTGTATAGTGATCACGCGGTACTTATAAGGGTCATTTGGTCCCCAAGGTTCTTGGAAATTAGACTTGTCACAGAGCACAGCTATTGGGGCTTTAGAGGTGTTGAATAAAATAGATACAGAAACTGTTCCACCCTAAACCCTAAACCCTAAACCGTTGATTATTTTAATTTTACTGCAGGATCCCTCCCTGTTCTAACGAGTACGGGCCGTGGAAACGCGCATCGCCCAACCCTAAAAGTTCGGGTTTTCCTAGTTGTTTCTGGTTCAACCTCAACCTAAACCCTACCTGGGGATCCAAAAACCTACTGTTTTAAGGGCTAGACCCTCTACTTAAGGGGTCATGACCTACTATTTTGTACGGTTTGGGGATACTGGTACAACCCTAACACCCCAATAATGTAGGGGCCTTGAGAATTATTACCTATACTTTTTTGGGGGGCTCCTTATGATAATTATGGTATAGCGTACCCCAAAACCCTATTCTAATCGGTAAGGCCCCGATGGTACCCTGAAGCCCAAAGACCCAAGAGCCTTCCTAAGAGTTCAGGGGTTCCGGGTTGTCTCTGGTTTCAACCCTTTCTCTCCCTGAAACCCTAAACCCTAAACCCTAAACCCTAAAACCCTAGAAGCCTCAATACCCTGAAACTCGAAAACCCTCGAGCTCTCTGCACCCAAACCCTAAATGAAAAGCTCACGGCCTGACTTCCGAAGGAAAGGTCTGTGTTGTAACTATTGGGTTTAGGAGTTTAGGGGTTCAGGGTTTAGGGTTTAAGAGTTTAGGATCTAGGGCTTCTAAGGTTAAGGGTTTAGGGTTTTAGTAATTAGGATCTGTCGCTTTTAAGGTTAAGGGTTTAGGGTTTTAGAATTTAGGATCTATGTAGGCGTAAGGACGAAATGAACCCCAAAATCATTGACCGTTTGCAGGGAGT